ATCCACCTCCAGCAGCCATCTTCTGCCCACCTTCAGACGTAAGACCTCCAGACCAATCTCTGAAAGTACTTTACTATGAAGGTCATCAGCGCCCACACCATTCAGATCATCACCCACTAGGCAGCCACCACCAAGTACAGGCATCCACAACCACTCGACTTCACTAGCACGCACCCTGCTCTAGTCTTCGGCTCTCGTCCTTGAAGTGCCATTGGGTGCAAAAAGAGCAAAAGAGTGATAGAATCACAGCAGAGGATTCGCCAGTCGTCCCCGACCTGGCTACTGGCTCTCCGATGCTCAGATTATCTTCGCAGATCAGACGGGATGCGGAGGTTATTGAGCTCTGTGGCCGTGACTGGAGAGCGACGACGATCGAGCTATCAGTACCTACCTCGATAGATCTCACATGTTCTCTGCCAGAGCCTTTGGCCTTGATCTTCAGCTGTCTCTCGGCGATGGATTGGCTGCGTTGGTGGCCCATCAGAGTGCAGACCTATCAGTGCCATCACTCAAGCACAAACATCACCCACACACCTCACACCCTCACACCATCGTCCCGAAGCTCCCCAATCCAGTCTTGGGCGCCGCTTGGCTGTTGGAAAAGCCCGCGCCCTCTGCACTGCTCAGGCACCGCAAGGCACCGGTGCACAATCCCGAAATGACTTGCTGGACATTGTGAGTCTGCAACCCATTGGCGAGGATTTCTTCGCCCCTCTTTGCCAACCAAGCTGTTGCAGGGTGACGAGTGCTTTTTAGATAATGCTAGACAGTCTCCCGAGATGAATAGAGCGATGTGTGGCTATGCACAAGCTCCCAGTAATTTTCCTTCAAGCCATCCTGCCATGCGAAAGTGGGTCGGGCGTTTTTGGAAATCAATCATTGACACCCAAGCTGGCACGCAGAGCAACTCGATTTTAAAATTGCCCAGCAGTATCACAAGCTCCATTGATCATCTTCTGTCTATTCGTGATACCCCAGTGATGCTTGTTTGATTTTATTGTCCTTGAAAAAAAAAATGAAAATTTTTATAAAAAAAAAAACAAAAAAAAAACAGATCAGACATCGACCTCAAGAAGAACCATCAAGACATGTTCTAGCGCCCAGAAAAAAAAAATGCAGGCTATCTCCAGTGTGCTCACCAGCCCCCTGACTCAAGTCAACAGTCAGTAGCACTCCCACCGCATACCCGGCGAGTCAGGTCCCTCAAGCGTCGTCTCAGGTCTTTCTGCTTGTGACTTAGGCCTGCTACCGAAGAGGGCTCTCACCGCTGACTCCTCAGGTCCATCGGTTTCACAGCACAGAGCTGACACTGGTCGTACTCTCAGAGCTAACTCCACGAGCCCTTGCCACTCAAGCACCACCCAGTCACCAAGAAAGCCTCTCATAATGCATTCAAAATGCCAAGAAAAATCACGATCACTCTCGGCCTTGTCGTCTCCACCATCAGGCAACTCATCCAGGCTTCTGTATTTGATTTTCACACTGTGTCTGTTCATCTGAGTCGGTGGTGTGTTTCTGCCAAGACTACTGTTGGATTGGGTCGCATCAGCATGGCATCTAAACCAGACACCGTCTGCTATCATCCACCTCCAGCAGCCATCTTCTGCCCACCTTCAGACGTAAGACCTCCAGACCAATCTCTGAAAGTACTTTACTATGAAGGTCATCAGCGCCCACACCATTCAGATCATCACCCACTAGGCAGCCACCACCAAGTACAGGCATCCACAACCACTCGACTTCACTAGCACGCACCCTGCTCTAGTCTTCGGCTCTCGTCCTTGAAGTGCCATTGGGTGCAAAAAAAAAAAAAGAGCAAAAGAGTGATAGAATCACAGCAGAGAGGATTCGCCAGTCGTCCCCGACCTGGCTACTGGCTCTCCGATGCTCAGATTATCTTCGCAGATCAGACGGGATGCGGAGGTTATTGAGCTCTGTGGCCGTGACTGGAGAGCGACGACGATCGAGCTATCAGTACCTACCTCGATAGATCTCACATGTTCTCTGCCAGAGCCTTTGGCCTTGATCTTCAGCTGTCTCTCGGCGATGGATTGGCTGCGTTGGTGGCCCATCAGAGTGCAGACCTATCAGTGCCATCACTCAAGCACAAACATCACCCACACACCTCACACGCACCCTCACACCATCGTCCCCGGAAGCTCCCCAATCCAGTCTTCGGGCGCCGCTTGGCTGTTGGAAAAGCCCCGCGCCCTCTGCACTGCTCAGGCACCGCAAGGCACCGGTGCACAATCCCGAAATGACTTGCTGGACATTGTGAGTCTGCAACCCATTGGCGAGGATTTCTTCGCCCCTCTTTGCCAACCAAGCTGTTGCAGGGTGACGAGTGCTTTTTAGATAATGCTAGACAGTCTCCCGAGATGAATAGAGCGATGTGTGGCTATGCACAAGCTCCCAGTAATTTTCCTTCAAGCCATCCTGCCATGCGAAAGTGGGTCGGGCGTTTTTGGAAATCAATCATTGACACCCAAGCTGGCACGCAGAGCAACTCGATTTTAAAATTGCCCAGCAGTATCACAAGCTCCATTGATCATCTTCTGTCTATTCGTGATACCCCAGTGATGCTTGTTTGATTTTATTGTCCTTGAAAAAAAATGAAAATTTTTATAAAAAAAAACAAAAAAAAACAGATCAGACATCGACCTCAAGAAGAACCATCAAGACATGTTCTAGCGCCCAGAAAAAAAAAATGCAGGCTATCTCCAGTGTGCTCACCAGCCCCCTGACTCAAGTCAACAGTCAGTAGCACTCCCACCGCATACCCGGCGAGTCAGGTCCCTCAAGCGTCGTCTCAGGTCTTTCTGCTTGTGACTTAGGCCTGCTACCGAAGAGGGCTCTCACCGCTGACTCCTCAGGTCCATCGGTTTCACAGCACAGAGCTGACACTGGTCGTACTCTCAGAGCTAACTCCACGAGCCCTTGCCACTCAAGCACCACCCAGTCACCAAGAAAGCCTCTCATAATGCATTCAAAATGCCAAGAAAAATCACGATCACTCGGCCTTGTCGTCTCCACCATCAGGCAACTCATCCAGGCTTCTGTATTTGATTTTCACACTGTGTCTGTTCATCTGAGTCGGTGGTGTGTTTCTGCCAAGACTACTGTTGGATTGGGTCGCATCAGCATGGCATCTAAACCAGACACCGTCTGCTATCATCCACCTCCAGCAGCCATCTTCTGCCCACCTTCAGACGTAAGACCTCCAGACCAATCTCTGAAAGTACTTTACTATGAAGGTCATCAGCGCCCACACCATTCAGATCATCACCCACTAGGCAGCCACCACCAAGTACAGGCATCCACAACCACTCGACTTCACTAGCACGCACCCTGCTCTAGTCTTCGGCTCTCGTCCTTGAAGTGCCATTGGGTGCAAAAAGAGCAAAAGAGTGATAGAATCACAGCAGAGAGGATTCGCCAGTCGTCCCCGACCTGGCTACTGGCTCTCCGATGCTCAGATTATCTTCGCAGATCAGACGGGATGCGGAGGTTATTGAGCTCTGTGGCCGTGACTGGAGAGCGACGACGATCGAGCTATCAGTACCTACCTCGATAGATCTCACATGTTCTCTGCCAGAGCCTTTGGCCTTGATCTTCAGCTGTCTCTCGGCGATGGATTGGCTGCGTTGGTGGCCCATCAGAGTGCAGACCTATCAGTGCCATCACTCAAGCACAAACATCACCCACACACCTCACACGCACCCTCACACCATCGTCCCCGGAAGCTCCCCAATCCAGTCTTCGGGCGCCGCTTGGCTGTTGGAAAAGCCCCGCGCCCTCTGCACTGCTCAGGCACCGCAAGGCACCGGTGCACAATCCCGAAATGACTTGCTGGACATTGTGAGTCTGCAACCCATTGGCGAGGATTTCTTCGCCCCTCTTTGCCAACCAAGCTGTTGCAGGGTGACGAGTGCTTTTTAGATAATGCTAGACAGTCTCCCGAGATGAATAGAGCGATGTGTGGCTATGCACAAGCTCCCAGTAATTTTCCTTCAAGCCATCCTGCCATGCGAAAGTGGGTCGGGCGTTTTTGGAAATCAATCATTGACACCCAAGCTGGCACGCAGAGCAACTCGATTTTAAAATTGCCCAGCAGTATCACAAGCTCCATTGATCATCTTCTGTCTATTCGTGATACCCCAGTGATGCTTGTTTGATTTTATTGTCCTTGAAAAAAAAAATGAAAATTTTTATAAAAAAAAAAACAAAAAAAAAACAGATCAGACATCGACCTCAAGAAGAACCATCAAGACATGTTCTAGCGCCCAGAAAAAAAAAATGCAGGCTATCTCCAGTGTGCTCACCAGCCCCCTGACTCAAGTCAACAGTCAGTAGCACTCCCACCGCATACCCGGCGAGTCAGGTCCCTCAAGCGTCGTCTCAGGTCTTTCTGCTTGTGACTTAGGCCTGCTACCGAAGAGGGGCTCTCACCGCTGACTCCTCAGGTCCATCGGTTTCACAGCACAGAGCTGACACTGGTCGTACTCTCAGAGCTAACTCCACGAGCCCTTGCCACTCAAGCACCACCCAGTCACCAAGAAAGCCTCTCATAATGCATTCAAAATGCCAAGAAAAATCACGATCACTCGGCCTTGTCGTCTCCACCATCAGGCAACTCATCCAGGCTTCTGTATTTGATTTTCACACTGTGTCTGTTCATCTGAGTCGGTGGTGTGTTTCTGCCAAGACTACTGTTGGATTGGGTCGCATCAGCATGGCATCTAAACCAGACACCGTCTGCTATCATCCACCTCCAGCAGCCATCTTCTGCCCACCTTCAGACGTAAGACCTCCAGACCAATCTCTGAAAGTACTTTACTATGAAGGTCATCAGCGCCCACACCATTCAGATCATCACCCACTAGGCAGCCACCACCAAGTACAGGCATCCACAACCACTCGACTTCACTAGCACGCACCCTGCTCTAGTCTTCGGCTCTCGTCCTTGAAGTGCCATTGGGTGCAAAAGAGCAAAGAGTGATAGAATCACAGCAGAGGATTCGCCAGTCGTCCCCGACCTGGCTACTGGCTCTCCGATGCTCAGATTATCTTCGCAGATCAGACGGGATGCGGAGGTTATTGAGCTCTGTGGCCGTGACTGGAGAGCGACGACGATCGAGCTATCAGTACCTACCTCGATAGATCTCACATGTTCTCTGCCAGAGCCTTTGGCCTTGATCTTCAGCTGTCTCTCGGCGATGGATTGGCTGCGTTGGTGGCCCATCAGAGTGCAGACCTATCAGTGCCATCACTCAAGCACAAACATCACCCACACACCTCACACGCACCCTCACACCATCGTCCCCGGAAGCTCCCCAATCCAGTCTTCGGGCGCCGCTTGGCTGTTGGAAAAGCCCCGCGCCCTCTGCACTGCTCAGGCACCGCAAGGCACCGGTGCACAATCCCGAAATGACTTAGGAGAATCCAGTGATTTCTGTGTCGGTACACCGCGGGGCTCCACAGGGGGGTTGTCGGCTCTTGGAATTGGGCTGCGTGCTTTTGGTTGTCGGGCATGCTTCATGAAACGGCGGAGACGGTGCTGCACACCCATACACCCATACACCCATACTGCTCACTTACTGTTCGCCTAGCAATGTCGGATCGTGACTGCACTGTCAGCATCGGTGCCAATTCGGTGGCTTCTGGTTCTCTGTCGATGCGTTCGCGATGTCAAGGTGCAGCGCAATGGAAGTTACCATGTTGCATTTGTTGACGCGTGATGGTTGTAGCTACGCAGCACTGCATATCATTTTTGTTGTGCATGCATGCTCTCGTTGAATACGAAGCGCTCAGTGTTATTGTTGAGTCGGGTGGATGTGCCACTTCGGCGATGATGACGCCGGAGGGCCGGACGCGTGGAATGGTCGCAGACTCCGCTGCCGAATCGGTCTTGTTGGTTTTGCCCCGTTGTTATCTTTTGGTCGGTGTACAGTTATCTTTTGGTCGGTGTACATTGACATACCATTTCTACACTCCGCACATTAGCCGGTAACCGATCCGCCGAGAGCCTCATCCCCAAAACCCGTCTATCTGAGAAAAGGCTTTCGGCCGCGGTCTTGCTGCTTGCAACCTCCTTCCGCCGAACGCGTCGTCATGGTGAGCTCTTCTTATCTGAACCCCGAAGTAGCCTGATCTGACCCCCCACTTCAGTGATTATATGTCGTATCAAGCCCCACACCGTCCCAGACCACTCTGTACCCACTGCCTTTCCATTGAGTCAAAACGCGACCGCTCGACCTCCTCTTCGCTTTCGCCCCGGCAGAGAGCTCTTCGTTTGAAGCTCGAACTCGGTTATCGAGCGGGACAGTCGACAATGGCGGCAGCTCAGCTGGAGATGATGGTGTGAAGGCCGTGTGGAGGCAGCCGGGATAAGGAAAGGATACATGCGGAGGGACGGAGTTGGTGTAGCTGGGTGACGGGGTCCAGGACACAACACGGCTGCCGCGTGGAGAAGGTCGAAGCCGTTGCCCTCGACGAGCTCAATGTGCTAGGTGAGTTTCGTTTTAAAATTTGGGAAAAGAGATGACTGACACACTGTGGATTGGCAGGTGTGGTCTGTTCTGCAATGCAGCACTTGATCCACAGCCGGATGTCAGGGGGTAGTGTTCGAGGCAGCGTGAGTTGACCAACCGCTGCGTGTGCGATGCCACCGCCGTAGCTGACCCGTACATGTAGCTCTGCCTATGTGTATGTGTAGCCCCACCAAGGCGTTTTCGTCCCTCAGCGCTGTCAAACAAGGGTGCAGACAGTATATTCGGTGAGCTTTACTGCGTTTCCTAATCACGAGGGGTGTCGCTGATACACCTCCATGCAGGCAACGCGAAGGTGCCAAGGCCATTCATCTACACAATTCGCTAGTGAGCCGATGCTGAACCTCGAAAGTCATCCCCGGGTACGCCCGAGTGGCTGGTGCACGACATCGAAGTAGGATACCCGATATTGCAAGTCAGGGCTGCCGCCGATCGAGGGACTTCGGGAGCCTGTATGCCCAGAGGTCTGCCCACGTCCGGTGCTGGGTGAGTTGGTCTGCCAGCCACGCTGCCTCCTGTACGCAAAACACTCATGACCTATGCTGGCCTACTGTAACACAGCTGGCGACGGGGGAGGGAGGCGATGACTGGTATCCGGGATGAGCCATGAGGCGAATGATGAGACGGCACCAGACCTGTGAGATGTCTATCCGAAGGGCTGGTCCTGGACGGTGGGGGGCAAGGGGCAAGTCAGGCGAATGGTGCGGTATAATGGGGACCAGAAGAGATAGGTACATATTGGCGGGTAGTGACATGCATGGCATACGGGTACATACACAAAGAATTATGAGGCTCGCCGAACCACAAACGAATCAGCACCAGCAGTCACCTTCGCTCGCACGTCACACAAACCTCTGCCTGGCACCGTGAGCTATCGGCATCGATGAAGTTCTGTAACTCCAGCCGAGTGCGGTGCAGTCAGTCGCTGGTGGTATTGGGCTACCGGACTGCAACAAGCACCTCCAAATGATAGGCCAGGCTGCTGAGCTCACCCGCCAATCGCCCAAATCCGATATCTGATCTCTACACGCCGCAAGGCATAGCACGCCAGAAGGAGCAAGCATCTCTGTAAGACGGCGCCAGTCGTGGATTGAGGGAGGGTGCGTACCTACATGTCCACGACTCATCAGCATCCTTCAGTGAGAATTGCGGAACCTGGGACTTATCTGTTGATCGCCCGGGTTCGAGAGAGACACCTCGCGAAAGCCCAATTCAAGTATTCCCATCTTCCCGCCTTATTCAGTACGCCGGGGGATATGTAGCTTTGGGCTACTGGCCCGTGAAGTGTCAGCAGCGCTGAGTGAAGATGGCATGCCACAGGACTCACCTATCGACCATCCAGAATCCGATTACCCCACTGCACCACATTCATCTGCCAGCCACAAGAGGCTCTTCGGGAGCTAGCAGCATACGCTCGCTTGGCTGAGGCGTGGTTCTACGATCATACATAACATCAGTGACCCATAACATCGAGCGTGGGAGGCATATCACTCACCAGTAGAATATCACCCACCAGTCCCTACTCCAAGCCCACCTTCAACAGCACACATCGACACCACTGCCATACTTCCGGCCAACCGAGGTATCTGTCCAACCGAGGTTCTGCTTTAGTGTCGGGGCTTGCTTGACAGGGGATGGCGTACAATTATTACACGGCGATTCAAGAGGTCGCTGAACACGCGTGATCAAGTATCAGTGATCCGACGTAGGAGACGACAGCAGTTTCACTCACGCAAAACACACCAGGCGATCAAAGGCCACGCTCTCCCCTGAACACTCCCACAAGGGCCCCACATTTCTTCTTAACAGCTCGGCTAAGTAGAGATGATGGCGATAGGGCTGATTCCACACACGACAAGATGTTGCGTTCGGTCTATGGGGGTTGTGATCGAGGAGGTACTGTACGGGGCGATCAATCAGGTGAAGAGTGGGGGGATATGAGAGAGCACAAAAGGTGGGTCGCCGCGGCGAGAGAAGGCGGTGGGAGGGCGAAGGGGATGCTGATAGATTCGAGGGCGGAGGGCAGTGGCAGAGAGACTTCGCTGGGCGGGTGGATGGTTGGATGTTGGGAGAATTGATGACTTTGAAAGAAGAGCAAGATATGCTGGCGATCACAAGAGCACCGCGTAGTCGTCAGGGGCGGCCGGTGGAGGTGGTCCGGACAACAATCATCATCATCAGGTGCTTCTGCTGGGTTATTTGCACCAGTGTGCGATGGACGCAGAGGTGAGGCTGTCTTGGACCTGTGTCAAATGTGATCGTCATGTCATCCACGAACATCATGAGGTCAAAAGACCGTGTCAACTCTACTAGGAGAGGAGACCTCTTATCTCAATCAATGTCCCGGCGCGGGAAAGGATCTCCGACAACAACAACAAGACTCCGCTAGGCATCGCCCGTCAGCAGCCTCGCTCGAGCGAGTGAGGAGTGACCCGTGTCTTTCGCTATCGTACTCACGCTGAACTGGAGGACATGCTAGCTTCATGAGTGCCTGCATGAGCATTCGCTCTCCTCGTCGACGCCGCTCCCCTCGTCAACGTCTGAGCCTCGTCTGACAGGCACATATAATCGGCGGTGTCCGCCGACAACGGTGCTGCTAGGTGCTAGTAGTACTATGCTGAGAGATAAGCCCCAGCAACCGACGGCCTTGTGCTGGCGGTCAATCAACAGCTGTGCCCTTTGCCTTGACCTACAACGTTCAGGCTCAAGCCCCAGCAGTTCGTGCATTTAGTATGTAATGGGTGAAGAGACGGCGGGCCCGCCTCCCCTGTTCCCTCAGTGCAGTACAACTCCTCACCACCATGTCGGAATCCTCAAAACTAAACCTCGGCGGCGAGACCAGCAAGAGCCCCGATGAGGCCCCGATGAAGATTCTCGAGGTCGGAGAGGAGGAAGCTCAGCCTGCTGGAGGTCTGAAGCTGAAGAGGAGTCTCAAGTCTCGTCACTTGCAGATGCTTGCCATCGGTGAGTGTAATTGCACCTGCTTTACGAGAGTTTGGGCGCTGACAGTAGAGACGTAGGTGGCATCATTGGGCCAGGATACTTCGTTGGCAGTGAGTAGCAGTACCGTCATCCGAGAGTGGTCTCTGCGATGTCCTACGCGCTTACAATATGCTTCTCTACAGTCGGCAATGGTCTGTCAAACGGAGGCCCCGCCGGTTTGCTCCTCGGTTTCGGCGTCGTAGGCATCCTTCTCTGGACTGTCATGCAGTCTTTAGGTGAGATGGCTGCCTACCTGTCTGTGTCTGGCTCGTTTGCCAGCTACACCTCCAGATTCCTCGACCCCGCCCTCGGATTCAGTCTCGGGTGGAACTACGCGTTTCTCTGGTTTGGCGTCATGGCGTCCGAGTACAACACGTTAGGTCTCAGTGAGTAAACAGACCTGACGAATTCATACGACGGGCGTTTACTGACTGCACTGGTTCTGCTCCGGGGAAAGTCATGACATACTGGAAGTCTGCCCTTCCCAATTACGGCTTTATCATCATCTTCTGGTTCTTCTTTTTGGTCGGTCGCTCATCACCCTGCATCTCCAGAGCGTGGCTGACGCCTGCGATCCACAGATCTT